TGACTTTTTCATGAAAATTTCCACACAAAAATCAATTGTTTTTAATTATTTTAGTATTTAATATAAAGACACGCATTGATAGTCTTAATTATAACGCATAGTATACAGGCTATGATAATGATGATAAGGGGGGGCTGTTAGTGAATGTATTTCGTCATAAGTCTACACGTGTAAAAAGCAGTTCATCTTTTACACTTAGAAATGTGAATGATTTTGTATATAGTTGAAAACATTATCCTATATATTTTTTTTTCATTAAAAAAACCCTTAAATTAGCTTATATCAATGTGATATAATTGTATATGCGATTTTAAAATATGTAAATAAATTTTAACATAACATATATAATTTTCCATCTATGTTTTGCCAATAGATTTGGCCCAGCCACATTGCCAGCAAAACACCTCTTTGGTAGATTGTGAGGATTCCATTAGATCCCGTGTGGATCTCATGGAATAAAGTCCGCCCTAGACTGACGAGGGCCATTAGCCCGAAACCATGGTCTCTAGGTGGACGCTTATCAGTTTGTCAAAGTTGGTGTTGTGGCTTTGTCACCGACCCGATGCCGCTAGTTGCGGCGACGGTCAATAGATGGCGTCAGATTCTGACGTTTATTTTGACGGGAGAGGCGGACCATTGCTTCCATAACATATATTTATTTATTTATTTATAGTTAGTATAGTTAGCTGGAAGTCATACCACTAGTTCTCCTTTTGAAGGGCATGTTGGCCCCCGAAAAAGCTAGAGAAATAAAAATATTAAAAGAAACTTAACCCTGGATTGATTGTTGATTTTATTAAACTTACAAATATGTCTGTGAAACCTGTATGGTTACTTGCACTTACTGGTGCGCTTAAACCTTTACAAAAATTAGAGGCCATTAAAGTAATTTTTTTCATAAAAAAAAAAGATCCATTTCGGGATTCGATCCTGTATCGTGGCTTTCTAATATTAACGGTTGATACCATTACTTTACCAACTCCAGTCCTAATTATGAAATTAGTCAAAATTATGAAAAAAAGTCATCTCCTTATCGTGCAACTAAAAGTTTATGATGGCTTGCGCCATCTATCGGAATAAATATCAACTATTCTCGTTGATTTTTAATTATTCCAGAATTGTCGAAATACCCATTCTTGGTTAATCAAAATTAAATACAAATCAAAATGGATATTTGGCCAATTCTGGAATAATTGATAATCAACGAGAATAGTTTATATTTATTCCGATAGATGGCGTAAGCCATCAGCAACTTTCAGTTGCACAATAAGGAGATGTCTTTTTCCATAATTTATGCACCTTATCCCAGTACAATGTCACATTTGTACTATTTTTTCACATTAGTTAAAATTGACTAGCAATTCTATTATATTTTAGAACAAAATAATATTTTGAAGGCTTTGTGAGTAAGCTATTCAGAATATGTTTTCTTTGTTATAGTTTTAATGTAACATTTTTTCACATCTCTCTTCTCATACATATATTTTATTCATTTATTAATATACCAGGTGAGATATTGAGATATTTACGCCTATTACAGAGAGGAAACAAACAAAACAACAAAAACAAGTTAAACCTTAGAATTAAATATTTACTAATTTATATGTAAAAACAATAGAAAAATAAAAGATAAGTGGGTCAGGTGTTGATATTAAAAATAAAGAAGGCATCTCCTGACCACGAGCACATGTGATTTTTAGATGGCAGAGCGCCATCTAGTGAAGCAAAAATAAACTAAACGTTTATATAGCTTGCTCCGTGATATTTGGCCAACCCAATTTATTGATAAATCAAGAAAAGTCATCCACGAACGCGTTTCGCGCTGTTGGCGCTCGTCAGCGTGGAGTAGACTGTAACCACTGCGACCAAAAGGTTTTTGGTCCCAATGGCTTCCTGAGAAATCAAGAAATGGGTTTTTAAGGCCAAATTGGCGTAAAGACGCTTAACATATGAAAAAACAATAGAAAAAATAAAAGATAAGTGGGTCAGGTGTTGATATTAAAAATAAAGAAGACATCTCCTGACCACGAGCACATGTGCTTTTTAGATGGCAGAGCGCCATTTTTGCTCCACTAGATGGCGCTCTGCCATCTAAAAAGCACATGTGCTCGTGGTCAGGAGATGCCTTCTTTATTTTTAAATTTACATGTATTAATCGACAGAATTCACAAAATTTATATAGACAAAGTGGCTGATGTAAGAGAATTAAATCATTTAGATCAGGGAACAACCGATGTCTCACTTCTGTAAAGTTCGAACAGTCATAGATAAGGTGAAGAGGAACAATTTGATGTTTCTGATAGACCTCTTTAGGTAAGTGGCACTGGAATTTTCCGTGAATTTTGAGAGACTATAAAATTTGTATGAAACTGTGTAGGAATTCCGTTAGTAAAAATAGTGGGAATTGTACAATTAGCATTAGGAATGTATTGACACAAATGATTCATAATAATAACTTTTTCTTCGCCAATTATTGTCGTATGTATTTCGTTTTGTAAATTTTGTTTTTTTCAGTTAGTATTTCATTGATTTATACTTGAGATACTAACAATGCTGAACTAATGTTAAAAGAGATATATACACTAATCTTTATTCTATTTTTTATAAACATATTATAATATTTTTTTCTGGGAAAATAAGCTATATAAATCAACTTTCTCTATCAAAAAGAAAAACATAAACATATTAATTTCCATAATAATTATATCTATACCAATTCATTTCATGAAAATAATTAAGAAAAAAAAATAAAATGACAAAATATATAATTGGTATACTCATCTACCCCTTGAAATAAAAAATAATAATTTCAAATATGTGTTCAATAAAGCGAAATATATTTGTAATGAGTTATTTGCATAAAGCAATATTCAAGTTAATTGCCTCAGAACTCAAGAGATGTCATTAGAAAAAAACGCTGAGGATGTTTTAGTCGAATGCAATGAAGCATATAGCCATGGATCGCCTGCGTTTTTGATGTATCTTCTGCTTCAATTGACATCAATATAAATGTATTTTAGAAGGAATTTCTTCACCTCCATACTTTTATCCATGTTCATATAGGTAAAAAAAAACATTATTAAACTAATTTAAAACCTTTTAACCATATCTAAAACCTCATTTTACTTACCTATTTATCGTCAAATATTTTTAATTGAGTTTTTTTTTTTTTCAAAAAATATATTTATATATATTCCATTAAGATATTTTTTATCAAATAGAGATTCGTCCTTGCTTTTACATTTCGAAAAAAATCAATAAGGAATCAAGGATTTGGTTTCTTTACCAAATGCAACTATTATCGGTGAATTTATTGTGAAATAGCATATTTATTTTATGTTTGATTGCTTTTAAATATATATTAAACGAATTATGAATGCTGTTAGATATTTACTCTACTGAGAATATTTTGATGATTTCAATATAGTAAGACCTCCCACAATAAACCTATCTGATGATTGATCATCTTTTTGAGCGACCAATTTTGTCAAATAAAAAAGGTATCCTCAGTATACTTGTTACAATCCATGATAATCATGATGAGTAGTAGTTGACGACTGCTTTATTATTATTATTATTATTATCCCTAATACACGTGGTACAGGCCATGATAATCATGATGGGTAGTTAGCGACTGCTTTTACTGTAAGTGTACCACATGTCTACATATAAAATACAATATAACGCGGCTGATGATTGTAAAACGAAAATTAAAATTATACCGCGAATGTTTCTTTTAAAAATCGAAATTTATTTTTAAAGAGAAATAGCGACATTTCTAACTTTGAGGATGAGGTATGGAAAGGTGAAACATGAAGAGTAATGGAGAACGGAAAAATAAAAAGTGTCCAGGGGCGGGAATCGAACCCACACCCTTCTGCTTACCGGGCAGGTGCCTTGTCCACTCGGCTACCCTGGACGTATTTTCCCGTTCATAACTTATATTTAAAGTAACATTTAAAATACAATATAACGCGGCTGATGATTGTAAAACGAAAATTAAAATTATACCGCGAATGTTTCTTTTAAAAATCGAAATTTATTTTTAAAGAGAAATAGCGACATTTCTAACTTTGAGGATGAGGTATGGAAAGGTGAAACATGAAGAGTAATGGAGAACGGAAAAATAAAAAGTTGCCAGGGGCGGGAATCGAACCCACACCCTTCTGCTTACCGGGCAGGTGCCTTGTCCACTCGGCTACCCTGGACGTATTTTTCCGTTCATAACTTATATTTAAAGTAACATTTAAAATACAATATAACGCGGCTGATGATTGTAAAACGAAAATTAAAATTATACCGCGAATGTTTCTTTTAAAAATCGAAATTTATTTTTAAAGAGAAATAGCGACATTTCTAACTTTGAGGATGAGGTATGGAAAGGTGAAACATGAAGAGTAATGGAGAACGGAAAAATAAAAAGTGTCCAGGGGCGGGAATCGAACCCACACCCTTCTGCTTACCGGGCAGGTGCCTTGTCCACTCGGCTACCCTGGACGTATTTTTCCGTTCATAACTTATATTTAAAGTGACATTTAAAATACAATATAACGCGGCTGATGATTGTAAAACGAAAATTAAAATTATACCGCGAATGTTTCTTTTAAAAATCGAAATTTATTTTTAAAGAGAAATAGCGACATTTCTAACTTTGAGGATGAGGTATGGAAAGGTGAAACATGAAGAGTAATGGAGAACGGAAAAATAAAAAGTGTCCAGGGGCGGGAATCGAACCCACACCCTTCTGCTTACCGGGCAGGTGCCTTGTCACTCGGCTACCCTGGACGTATTTTTCCGTTCATAACTTATATTTAAAGTAACATTTAAAATACAATATAACGCGGCTGATGATTGTAAAACGAAAATTAAAATTATACCGCGAATGTTTCTTTTAAAAATCGAAATTTATTTTTAAAGAGAAATAGCGACATTTCTAACTTTGAGGATGAGGTATGGAAAGGTGAAACATGAAGAGTAATGGAGAACGGAAAAATAAAAAGTGTCCAGGGGCGGGAATCGAACCCACACCCTTCTGCTTACCGGGCAGGTGGTAAGCAGAAGGGTGTGGGTTCGATTCCCGCCCCTGGACACTTTTTATTTTTCCGTTCTCCATTACTCTTCATGTTTCACCTTTACATACCTCATCCTCAAAGTTAGAAATGTCGCTATTTCTCTTTAAAAATAAATTTCGATTTTTAAAAGAAACATTCGCGGTATAATTTTAATGTCTACATATGTGAAATGAGTTTGACTTACAAATATTCCAGAGCCCGTTTGGTTACTTTAACTCGCTGTTGGGGTTAGACTTTTTAAAGATTCGGGGGCATTAGAGCATCTTTTTTTAATTCAGAAAAAAATGCCCAATGCGGAATTCGATGCCGAATCGTAGCGGCCAAAAACCAATGGTTTAGACCATCCTTCCACCGACCCCCTTAGGAACTGTTTTTTTACTGTAAGTACACCACATGTCTACACATGTAGAAAGAAGTTCGACTTTTGGATTTAGCCTTGTGCCTTTAGCCAATGTACCTTAGCCCCGTTCGCTTTCTTTCAATCACAGGTGTAGTTGAACTTTTTCAAGATTCAGAGGCCATTGGAGCAAGTTTTTATTCAGAAAAAGTGCACAATGCAAGCTTCGATCCTTAGCCGTGGCTATCGGAAATCGACATTTTATACCACTTGTCCACTGACCGCCCAAATCAGAAATGAAACGACATAATTAGGGCTTCCAATCCCGGTACATATTTTCAATCCCGGGATTCGGGATTGTTTTTTTCTCAATCCCGGGATCCCGGGATATCCCGGGTTTAAAAAACATTTTCGTCTTTCTACGCCAAGAGGTATATCGTTTCGTTCGTTATATTTTTCTTTTTTTCTTTTATATAGTGCCAATGACGTGGCACTTACTTCGATGAAAACAACCTGAAAGCCATATATTTTGCGCCTGCTTGTGAACTAAATCATTGCTTTTGGGTTACAGTTTGAAATTATCTGTCAATTACTGTACACACATCTGGAAAAAAATTACTGTTCTTGGAACTCTTAGACCACATCTCTTAATGCAGTGTTGGGCAGTAATCCATTCAAAGTAATACATTACTTTGTAATTACGATTACTTTGCAATGCATTACTTTGCAAAAAAAATAATTGCATTAGAATGTAAACATAATTACTCGTAATTCTATATATAATGATAGCAATTATGATTAAAATTACTTGTAATTGTAATTATAGCATATGCAATCATGATTACTTGCAATTGTGATTATAGAAAATGTAATCATTATTGCATTTTGCCCAACTATGTATTAATGTTTAGAAAGAAGACAGCACCGTTTTAAAATCCATGAATTACTTTATTTTAAGGATAAAAATTCAATTTCGAGAAAGATTTGAGCGTAGGAAAGATAATTTGTCAAGAGTGTCATCATGCAAACTAGAACGTATCTTATTGCATAGGTATCCAGAGGAGGAGAAGACTCTTTCCGATTCCACAGACGTTGGAGGAATTGTCAGCAAGTATTGATACACACTCTCTAAATGGGGTCCTCGTTTGCCTGACTGAGCAGCAATATTAAGTTCGTGGTTAATCATAGTTGAGTAGGATGCGGAGTCTGGTGTAGGTATTGCAATTGAAGTTGAAGAGGCAGCCTCAATAGCTTCTTGCAATCGGCGCTCAATTGTAAGATGGTCATTCGATTGTGATGGCTCATGGCGTTCTTGTAAAATCCGAGGAAGTTGCAAATTATCAGCCTGAATTCTTACTTCGGCCATTTGTTCCTGTAACGGTTTAAGACGCAAAAGCAATTTCACGCTAAAGTCTTTGACCATCTTCTTTTTTTCTAACTGTGCTTGCGGATTGTGCAGATATTGGAGGACTAAAGATGTTTTATTGCATCCGTCTTCTAAAATTCTCTTTTGAAAAGATTTTTGCAAATCTTTGCTGATAGAATGAGATTTTGCTTGCATCTCCTCTAGAAGAAACTTTACTGTTGCTTCTGCAGTCAAAAGCGTAGCGTCGCGTCTACAGATAGCCGCCACAGCTGCCCGAAATGGTTTCAGTGCGGAAATTACTTGCGTCATGATATCAAAATCTTCATCAGTTAGACGGACATTTGCATTCACATCTATTAGCGCCTTCTGAATCGCTGACTTCACACTGAGAAGTCTCTCCAACATGTTCAATAAACTATCCCAGCGCGATCTGCAGTCGAGAATGAGACACATACTGATGGAAATGCGATTATCTTGCCGCATGTAGTTCAGTAAGATCTCGTTCTTCAGCAGCGATCGTTTGAACAATTTCACAACCACACGAGCTTTTTTCGTCACTTAATTTATATTTTCTTTCAAAATACTGGAGATTGTGGATAAATCGTAGGTAATAGCACCAGATTCCTTCTGATTTAATAGGAATAAACTTCGCCATCACAATCAAGAAGTGATAAGCTTACCAAAAATGTCCGACACGTTTTCTATTGAGAACTAACAAGGTCCGATAATATTGTTTGGGAGACTTTGTTTTATGTTCGTATAAGTTGAAAACTACTTTAGGCTGATGCTTGATAGTGACGAAGCATTTAATGAAATGACATTAAATAAATTTAATTCAAATTAAATGACAAAAAAGCTAGCGAGGGTTTCACAAAATGAACAGCAGAGCAGTGCGTTCATGATGACCCATGCATACAGAGTACAGGATGGTGAGTATAAACATAGATTAAAATAAATATATATAACAATTTGGAGCCCAGATAAGAGGTTAGTGGCGGGTCCATGTTACACGCAGGTCCGCCACAAAAATAAAGGGATGCCGCTATAATCTAAGAAGCCACTATTTGCATGTCAACAAAAACTGGGGCCCCCTCCATGTATACTGCTGCATACTCTCATTCTAGAGGCTGCCATTTTGGAAATATCTTGCAGAATAACGCTTCGTTATTAGTGTATGAAAATAATTTCAAATCTCTCAGAAAAAAAAAAGACCCGAAATGCAGATGTATAAACCAGTAATCCCGGGATTTTTCGAGCAGAATCCCGGGATTTCGGGATCATTATTTGGCTCCGGGATCCCGGGATTGGAGGCCCTAGACATAATACACAACCTTTACTACCTCCCGAAGAGTCCGAAATCAAAATTGCTTCACTAACAAAGATAACAGAATCATATTAATTGATAAGATAGTGTATAATGAGAGTATTATTGTTGATAGTACACTCATGGACAATACTAAAGAAAATTGTACCTTTTAGCATGTACATCTAGATTCAGATAATAACTCTGAAAGATATTACAGTGATCTTTATTGAAGATACACGAGATAACCACCAAATGTGAACAAAATTTCTTCTGTTTCCTTCAAAGAAAAGCACAACTGGAGATATCAAAGAATTTCCATTTCCTTAATTTTTGTCCTTGAGTGTATTTTCGAGTAATTTTTTATTTGAGTATATCAGACATCTGTACTCAGAATAGTCTCCTCTGGATGCAGCAACAGCTCTGATATTGCTGGACATCGAGTCGAACACAGTCTGGATGACAGTGGTCGGTATATGCCACATCCAACTCTATGCCATAGTTCATCAATCGAATCGTATTTAGAGAAAGATGGCTTGCCAGTCTCTCAGCAAATACGGGACAGATGTTTACAATTGGTGAGACATATGGAGAAGGTACTAGCCGAAGGAAGCAAACGAACACCCTCTGTATCAAGTATTATTAGGACAGCATATGGGAAACATTAGTTCATTCATTTCCATGCTGAAAGGTAGGGTGAAGAAAGCCTCAAAGATAGGGTAAAGCTACTGTTGGAGCTTGGATCCTCACAGTATTAGCTTGGAATTCCGTGTAGCTCTCTAACCTTTTGTTTTTGATGTTGACGATCTTTTGGCAGAGTTTAATTCGGACTGTATGTTTTCACCTCGACCTGCGGATTGACTACTGAGAGATTATCCTTATCTAATTGCGATGTAGCAACAAGAGAATCACCACACGGCCTCACTGAGTTTAGCTGACACACTAACTTTATTGAATCATCCACTCATTTTATATACATATATATTTACATAACCAAAAGAAAGAAATAAAAATTTACATCAATGCATCCTAGCAAGTTATTTACATAACTAGGCGCAAACAGCTACTATCCGTTACACTACAGAAATGTAACGGGGGCTCCCCAAATCTCCAGCTAAGACAACTGGAGTTTCATGTAGGACTTTGGTTGACCACGCTATTGTCAAAATATTTTCTTAATTAGCTTAACTATCACAGAATAATATTGTCACAATATCACAGAATTTCTCTCTCCACGATATTAATTATTACAGATAACTTCATTAAATCAACTTCCATCATTGCTTAACATATTGTAAATAACTACCTTGCGGTTTCTTCTATCTGCTGACGTTTTTGCTTATTTGTTTAATGTATATGTTTATTCAATGCTCTTTATCTTAATTGTTTATTTTTTCTGACAATTCTGTTACCTACTCTACTACAATTATTGTAAATAGATTCACTAGTAATTATCCAGATCGGATATAGCGTGTCTTAACTGGTAATAAATAAAATAAAATCACAGAATAAAGTCACTTCTATAGTTAAAAAGACGTCAAAGCTAAACGCAATCTATTGAGCAGTCGCCACAAACTAGCGGCTTCAGGTCGGTAACAAAGCCACAAAACCAGTTTTGGCAAACTGAGAATCCTACCGGAAAATGTTTCATCTATATTACAGATTAATTATTAAAATATTTTAAACCAAAAAATATTATATAGATATACTGAATAAACTCTATGAGAGGATACTCTCGCTAAGGGACGCCTCTCTATAAAGGACAGTTTTCATTTTGTAAAATTACCATTCTCTTCTTACTAATTAGCAGATCTCCGATAAGAGAACAAAACTCCCTAAAGGGACAATTTGGCTATGCAACTAGGAATTCTCTACAGAAAGCTTCTACTGTATAACATAAATATAAAACTTCATAATATGAGATTTCATAAAAATATTTCGAATGTAGTTGACAAAGATACTTTTTTTTGTTTGCTTATCGCTAGTACACGTGGTACAGGCCATAATCATG